TTTTTTTTTTTAATTGTTTAATTATTATTGTAAATATACAATTTTACCGTTCATTTAATTTGTCAATTTGAGCCTAAATTTCAACTTCAGTGTTGACTAATGGAATTTTAGACTGAATCTGTTATATGGACTCTGACTGTCGTTAAAGTGAAATGTTTGAGATTGCAATCGTATAAATGAAAGGTTAGAGTATAATCTGTAATAAAATGAAAAGTGTGACCGACGCTGCATTTTTTTCCTTTATTGTATCATAGAATATTGGGTGTCAAACACACATTAGGACTTAAGTGTGCATAATAGTGCATGCACCTAATAAATGTTTTTAGAATATATAAAGTTAGCTCTAAATGGGTCCCAACAAATGGGACCCAAGGCTCCGCCCACATCAAGACCTTGTTTGTAAGTAATTTGTCAAAAATATTTTTAACTATATATTTTATTGACTAATAATTTTTCATTTTAAAAAATTTCTCCCAAACAAAAGCTAAAAAGGGTGCCATCAATTGAAAGTTTAATGAATATTAAGTCCTAAATTCAGTTGTCTCTAATTGAGATTTTAATAAATTTTATTAAAATCTAGGGTATCATCAATAACTGATGAATTTATAAGAATTTTATTAATAAATGAATTTAAAAAGGTTTGAATTAATTTCAAGTTTAAAAATACACATAACCAACGTTTTTAGAATTTCACCACTTTTTTGAAATTCTTAATAATTATGTGAAAATCTATTCAAATTCATGAATCTCATTAAAATGTATAATATTTTAAAGTTCATTAAAATTTGAGGTGAGAACAACCGTAGATTAGAACAACTCTTCCATGCCTACCATTAATATTTCTCACTATCAATGCCTATAAAATTGCAATCAAAAGCGAAAGTCGAAGTCTTGATGTTAAAATTCGTGAACGATTAAATGTCTAAAATTTTTTTATCCATACTTTGCGATGTTGATTTGGCGACTCTCAATTAAATCATCGATGAGGTATTTATATGCGTATTATAGGTGAAAAATGTGTATATATTTACGATTTTGCTACTGGTACATCAAGATGTACATCACAGTGTCCACCCCCCTTACATAGGGGTGTGACCCACTTAAATAAATAAATATTTTATACAAGTGGGTCCTACTACCATGTGAGGGGCGGATACTTTGATATACAAATAGATTTATCCATATATTTATTGTCTGATCATAGCAAGCTATTTTCAATATTGGTATTATTGGAAAATGGTGAATATGGTCTTTTCACTATGTATTTTGCCAACTTGGACAGTGACACTGTGACTCCCTCTACTAAGTAGAGTCCAGTGCTGTGGGGCCAGCTTAGTTGGCGAAGCGGATATGTCACGGGGTCATTTTCAAATTTTATTTAAAAATCAATTCAAAAATAAAATAAAATCCATTAATCCTCCTCATGTTATACAAAGTCAAACAAGTCAGTAATCGATCAAATTACTTTTATCAATATATTTTATTAAATCTACAAGTTCTATTCATTGATTTATCGTTCTTTTTTTAATCATCCTCAAACATGCTTATATCGTATAACGTATTTTACATTATCGAGTTATCTATCTAATTTGAACATACTATTTGTATGTGAATGCGAGTTGTTGATACGTTTCAAAATTCCTATTTCTACTAAATTAGGCATAATTTCTTATCTATAATTAGTGGTTGAAATTGGACAAAGCTTTAATACATTCCCACTTAATGCATGCAAATTACAGTTTATCATTTTAATTAACTTAATAATTACACAAAAAATTATCAAAAAATCCAATATCAGACATCACAGTCTTTGAGGTTGTTTTCATTATACATGAACAATTTGACATTAAAAAGGATTAAAAATAAATGCCAAAACAAAGCATTAGTTGACTAGAATTAATTTACTTCAAGATATTTTAATTGGAGAAGAAGTCATCAATGTCTATCCATTAAAACTGATTTAAAGGGTAAGTAGCATAAATTGCGTTTGTTAGATCTATAAATCAAACATTTTTTTCTCGTTACTCTCTTCACTTCTTTTGCTGTTAGTGATTTTCAGAGAGAGAGTAGGTGGTGAAGAAAGGATAGCAATGGCGGGTGGAGGATTCGTCGAGTCGGGCGTAGGACGAGCCCATCTATACGAGTACAAGATTACTCGTTATTTCATATTTTCTTGTATTGTAGCAGCCATGGGAGGTTCTTTGTTTGGCTATGATCTTGGTGTTTCTGGTGAGTTTTTCTTGTTGGGTTCTCGATTTACGAAAAAGAAAAGTTGGATTCAAAATCTTTGACCTAAATTGTTTTTTATATAAGCATTAATGAACAATGTATGTGTGAATATTTGGGTGTTTTTTCAGGAGGGGTGACTTCTATGGATGATTTCCTCATCGAATTCTTCCCCAAAGTGTACAGAAGAAAACAAGCACATCTTGAGACGACAGATTACTGTAAATATGACAATCAGATCCTTACTCTGTTCACATCTTCGTTATACTTGGCGGCGTTGGTTTTCACGTTCGGGGCTTCCTATATAACAAGATCATACGGTCGGAGGGCTAGTATCCTCTGCGGATCAGTCAGTTTCTTCATTGGAGCAGTCTTCAATGCAGCTGCACAGAACATAGCAATGTTGATCATTGGCCGAGTTCTTCTTGGAATCGGCATTGGATTTGGAAACCAAGTAATTAATTTTCGCGAATATAGATAAAAACTTTGTAAAATTTAATTGTACTTATTGGCTATTTGATATGTTGTACAGGCAGTTCCTCTGTATCTTTCAGAAATGGCACCAGCCAAAATCCGGGGAGCTATAAACCAACTCTTTCAGTTTACGACCTGTTTGGGAATTCTTATAGCTAACTTATTGAATTATGGAGTTGAAAAAATCCATCCATGGGGATGGAGACTCTCTCTTGGTTTAGCCACGGTTCCAGCTGCTATCATGTTTATTGGTGGACTTTTCCTTCCAGAAACCCCCAACAGTCTTGTTGAACAAGGTAGATTAGACGAAGCAAGAAGGGTGTTGGAGAAAGTTAGAGGTACCAGAAAAATTGATGCAGAATTTGCTGACCTTATTGAAGCAAGCGATTCAGCCAAAGCAATAAAGAATCCATTTAGAAATCTTCTGCAAAGAAAAAACCGTCCCCAATTGGTAATAGGAGCACTCGGGATCCCAGCATTCCAACAGCTTACTGGCATGAACTCCATTCTTTTCTATGCCCCTGTCATATTTCAGAGTTTAGGCTTTGGCTCGACAGCGTCGTTATATTCATCAGTCTTTACCGGTGGGGCTCTTGTTGTGGCCACTCTAATATCAATGGCTTTGGTCGACAAGTTTGGTAGACGAGCATTCTTTATTGATGCTAGCATTGAAATGATCTGCTGCTCAGTAAGTTCACTTCAAAACACCTCTGTATTGAACAAAAATACTGTCGTTCCCTATCGATGTTTATACTAACATGTTTTTGACGTTCAGGTTGCAATTGCCATCACTCTGGCTCTGAAATTTGGAGAAGGTAAAGTGCTCCCGAAAGGTATTGGTGTCTTCCTTATCGTCGCCATCTGTATATTCGTTCTGGCTTATGGAAGGTCATGGGGCCCATTGGGATGGTTAGTTCCAAGTGAAATTTTTCCCCTCGAGACAAGATCAGCCGGGCAAAGCATGGTCGTTTGTGTCAATATGATCTTCACATTTTTGGTTGCTCAGTTTTTCCTTGCAGCTCTCTGTCACCTCAAATACGGGATCTTCCTATTGTTCGCCGGCTTGATCTGCATCATGGGCAGCTTTATCTTCTTTCTCTTGCCCGAGACAAAGCAGGTTCCTATCGAAGAGATACATTTTCTATGGCAAAAACACTGGTTCTGGAAGAGATACTGTGGACCTGAAGAGAATGCACATGAATTAAAAGAAAAACCAGAGCTATAGCTGTAGAATAGTTGCAAAAGAAATAAAATTATTACTTTCGTTTGAACTCAGTAGGAATTCTACACTTTCAATTGTTACTTTCATTTAAACTCGGTAGGAATTTTATAGTTTCGATGATGAAAATAGTATATCTAAACTTCTCGATTGTTTTCTATCGAACTATCTATTGATGTTCTCTTATCACGTCTGTAGCTGTTTATTGCTAGCATCGCCTGATACATTTGAACTAAAATCTGCTGTTTATTCTCGAACAATAGATTTCGTTACGACAACAAAGCTGTTAAAGCACAATTAATGTTCGATCAACGCAGAATATTCCCCTAAAGGAACTGAAACAACCGAGATCTACATCAATTTGATGGCATCCGTGCATGTATAGCAATTATGAAGTGAAACGAAAATCTAATACGCATGACCTTCACATATCAGCCATACGAGAGTATCTTATATTCCTGTACATATATATCCTGTGGTAACAGAGCATAAATGATGGTGAGAAAGTAAGATAAAGATACCACAGTGCATGCAAGAAAATATGTTAAATGTATGAGATATTCTTTTCCCCATTGAATGCCTTCTAAATACAAGTGTGATTTACAGAAGGGCACCAATAACTTGATCTAGAAGTAATTAATGAATTATAAATCACATTAAGCAAGTAACTTGGCAAGTTCATCAACTCCAAGGTTTCCCTGAGGAACTATATTTAGATAATCAGCTTTAATATCTTTCATCTTTTCATTTCTTGAACTCTTTCTTTCATTCTCTCTCTTGCCTGAAACTGCTATTTCTGTCCCTGCAACTGCAGCAGCTTCTTTAAGCTCCAAATCACTAGTCTGTTTTTTCTCGCCTCTTTGAACTGCCAACTTCTTAGGTCCATGCCTAAAGACAGGCCCAGCTGGAGCAGTCTTGGCAAAAGCAACTGTTGCTTTAAACACATTGTCAGCATCCAAACAATGATCACCTAACACAATTGCCTTCTCACTTTCAATGGCCTGCTTCAATAGTAGCATAACTCCCTTAGTCCACGGCGGGCTCAAACTTACTAGCTCGTCAATGTTCTTAGTGTCTTTTACTGAATCATTGTCACGAGGAACCGCAGATGAAATTTCCACCAGGTTTTCTCTACCGGCACTGGTCCCCAGATTCCCTTTGGACTCCACTAAACCACCACCCAATAAGGTTTTGCTCTCACTTATTTCACTGAATGCTTCTGAATCATTACCACTGTAGCCTGCATGAACAGGAGATCTTTCAGTCCCTTCATTAATACTCTGCACCGTCAAGACTGCTTGAGAAGCTTCCAATGACATGTTGACTGTAAAGAGAAAATCCTCAACCCCAGCTTCAGCCAACTCACTGCTTTGCTTTGATTCCTCATTGCCACATGTAGGAGTATAGCTAGTGTCAAGATCATTCGAATTCCGATTTACAATTGATACAGTTGGAACACTAGATGATGATAGTGCTGACGCCGCCGTATCTGCTAAGGCCACATCAAATTTAACTTCCTGCACTTCTTTTGGACCATCTTCAGGTTCTGACAAGGATGACCTCCAATGTCGTCCTCTCCATATAAGTATGTGTTCATATTCAAAAGATATTAACACACATGGGACAAGATCCTGCAGGTGAAATGCTAAGGATTACTATAATGTCACTGCAAATTTTTCTTTCTCCCTGTTCTCCTTAATATCAACCAAAAAAAAAACGTATATATCTTATAGTCATGCAAGTTACCCTACCTTAAGTTTGGCTCCTATTTTTCGGTAGTCGCTCCCATTCAATCCTTGGCAATTGATTCGCACTAATTCACATGCTTCAAATGCTTCTCTCACATTTTTTACAAGGTCACAATAAACACCATTTTTAGCTGCAAAAGACATGTATAGGTTGTCAGCAAACTTCTGGGCAAAACTGAACCATAAACCTTTTTCTTCAACACCTAATGACAGGAAAATAAAAACCAGCATACCAAGCTTGCATATTGGTGTTAGGTTGCGCCCTAGTTTCCGCATTTCACTTGCTTCTTCCAAAGTCAAACCCTCAGGAACTCGTTTAACCAGCCTGGGGTACACAGGGGTAATAGGTTTCCACAACATAAGAGGAAAGCGTGGCCGTGTTTTATAATTGTAGTTTCTTCCACGAAAAAGGTATATCACACCACCTCTGCTGTAAATAACCTTCCCTCCAGTTTTGTCCTGCTACGTTGTGTCTTTATAAGAACGAGAATTCAAAACAATAACTAAAATAAGAACAAATGTAGATTGACTAATTTATGTCATGAACCTGAAACTTTATTGATAAAGTTCTCTCCTGAATTTTACTTGTTCAAAGAGAAACTTCCAATATGTCGTCTTTTTTCATATACACAAAGAAAGAAACTTTTTCTTTTCTGTCAACTTTTATCTACGCAAGTTACTAGAAAGCAAAATTCTCCAGTTCCCAGAGTTCAGGTCATCACCTCTAAGGATTCTGAGCAGTATTATGTTTTGCAAACCAAAAGGGACCATCTTGAGCAAGAAACTATAAGCTTTCTCGATATAAGTTGGTTCAACTACATGCTATCCTAATGAGGCAATTTTGCCGAAGAGTATAGAAACAGTCAACTGTAGCATTTAGGGTAAGAGCCAGCAAAGAATCATCTAGACAAGATTTTCAGGTCCAGCAGAATCAGAAATTTATTGTGAAATATGTGCTTAAAATTCAGTTTGACATGATAAATGCTATTGTTTAGTAGTGTTGAAATCAAAGTCAATTTTCTTATATAGTTTTTATGCATTTTTTGTTCTTTCCTTGTGTAATATTTTATTTATTCTTGGTGCAACATATAGGCTTTGTTTGTTAGTGAGCCATGTCCATGGGCTGATTTGATCCACCATCTGTTTCACTCCTTGTAACATATAGACCCTGACAATCATTATTTGGGTAAAATAGAGTTTTGAATAGTGATTTTTTTGGAGAATGCGTGGTTAAAATGTGGGGAAAAGTTTTGAATTTAACGTGCAGAATATTTTATTGTGTGAATGTGTGGGTGAAAATGAGTAAGTGAAAAAAAGAGTTGAAATAATAATTGTCAAATAGAGGCATAGTGCTTAGCACCAACAGTAAGAATAGTGAATACACTTGTGTTTTTCAGAAATTATCCTTTTCTCTCATCTTCCTCATGTAGTAGTCACCAACTTATTTCATGATTCATGTCAGTTGAGAGAATATGGCAACAGTATATGGAATCAACTAGTATAAGACAACTGAGTTATTTGGCACACCTAGAGAAGAATACTTCTTATTCTTGGTCAACCCAGCTTAAAGGCTTAGCAATGTTTTTTCTAGAATTAGCTTAGACACCCTTTTTGTAGATCTTCAGTTACCTAATAAGACTACTGCTTCGACTTTAGCTCATGAAGGCAAACCTCATTCATAGATGCCAATCTTCCCAAAAGGGATTTTCCATCCCTTGTCAGATAATGGAAGTGATGTATTAGATATGTTGCAGAAAAAAAAAAACTTTCTGTTCAATATAAACATACAAGTGAGCTTTCTTTATATGACAATTGACAGCAGTAACTTCCTTTCCTATACATCAATTCAGTTTATTAAATTTTGCATATATTTTGGCCGTAGTCACTACGGACCAGCAGTGGCAAATTGGTGAATTAAAAACAGCCAAATGTAGTAAATTACACGAATGTTGGAGAAGAAGAAATAAAGGTTAACTTTTTTTTTCTAAAAGTTGAAAGTTGAAAATACTGGCCTCCAACTGTTGGCGGACATTATCCATGTCCACTGTACACACTCCTTTGCATTTGATCTTACACACCCTCCGTCGCTTCCAGAGAGCATGAATGTTGTCCAACATGTTGTGTGTCAGGCCATCTCTTCCTGGAGAAAAATGTCAAGTGCACTACTGAATGTTGAAAAACTTTGTCCACAAGATAATCAATTGTCATGAATCAACTAGGGAAAATGAATTCCTACTGCCAATAGCAGTTTTGGCTATGTTACTAACTAAAATCGACACTTCGGACTGTATAACAAATTTGAACTCTCCAGTTTAGCAGAAACTATCAATATAGTCATATTACGAAACAAAGAACAAGAACCTACACATCTTAGCTGCGTAATATGTGCCACTTGATCTTAGTAATAAAAAAAAGCATATCGAAGTAGTTGCTTCATTTCACCACATATCCACTTCTTTAGCCAACAACTACACTACATTTTGTCAGAGTACGCATAGAGAACAAAACAAAATAACAAAACCATGTACTTCTGTAACAAATATACATTTCAAGCCGAATTAGATCACACATTAGCAAGTCCATATTGAAACTCAAAGAGGGGACGTAAGTTTATTATCTACGTTATAAGTGTATCCATACTCCTCTACTCATATTCAAATTGAAAGAGAAAAATAAAGAGTTTTGATTGTCGGAAAAGTAAAAACTAGTTTGAAACAAGAACATTTGAATAGTTGATCCATTACAGCCATATCCACTTCTTTAGGCAACAGCTGTAACGTTTTGTAAGACATGCACAGAAAACCAATTAACAAAACCATGTATTTTCTGTAATTAATATACAAATCAAACCACATTATATCACACATAAGCAAATCAATTTTGAAACTCAAAGACGGGTGCATTTAAATAATTGATGCAGTATAGTGTATTCATCAAGTATACCCATATTCAATTGTCTCTGCGATTTCTTAGACCCTTCAATGAGCTCCTTAATTTCCTCCTTGGTCAATGGCTCCCCCAATATCTCCTCTCGGGACCTCATGTACTTCGGCCCAGAACCAGGAAGGAATGGCCCAGGCGCCTGCACAGGCTTCACCCCCTTTTTATGGGGTGGGGGGAGCTGGAAAGAGTCAAATTCTGGCAGCTTCTTCTTGCTGGAAGGCAGCGGCTTCCGCCCCAGCCATGGTTTCGGTATAGAACCCGGCCCAAACGGGGATACCAATGGCTCCCTCAACTTTAACGGCTTCAACTTCGGTGTCTCCGTGTAACTGTACTGATACTCAAAGGGAGCCTCAGGAAAGTCATACGAAACCCCATTTTCACCAATTCGAAAATTTGGAGAGATAGAATTATTGTTTTCATTTTCACCACCAATAATTTCCGGATTTTTTACAGGGATTTTTCACCCAAAATCATCCCCAAATTTCCGGGGGTGAACTGAATTCCCAGGAGGGTATTTTGCCGATTTCGAGTACTTAGAGAATTTTCCAGGTATGGAAGGTGAAGAAGGAGATGAAGGGGTGCCAGTGGACTTGAAAGTGGTGCGGTGAGGAGGGGCAGGGTTGTAATTATGAGTGATATTGAGGGCAGAATCGAAGCGCTTCTCAAAGCGGAGCTCGTCTTCAAGTTCCTTCTGTTCACGCTCACGGCGGATGAATTTCTCGGCGTTGGCATTGTTCCACCGCGAGAAGCGGATCTCGGAGGCGGGGTGGCGGCGGTGGAGTTGGTGGTCTGGAGGTGCAAAAATTGGAAACTGGATTACAGTTTTCAGCGACATTTAATTTTACGCCATCGTCATCAAGCACAGGAATTTATAGAATTCATTTTATGAACAGAAATTAGTAAGAAAAAGTTAAAATAGAGTAAAATGTTTCATTAGTTATTTTACAGGGATCATGCATCATTCTTGTACATTTAAGTAGGGCCGATTGGATTTTGATTCAAATGAGATTCGAATTCGATGACATTAATGAGAAATGAATTTAGGATCTATGTCTGATAACGCAATCAAGATCCAAATATGATAATCCATTAATTAAATAAAACAAATATGGATATAGGTCAATCATATTCGATAATAATCCGATCCGATTTCTTATAATAATATAATATATTTCATATATTATCGCATAATTTATTACACATATATTTTTTTTCATTTTAAAATTATATTACTCTTTACACGTAATTTTCAAATAATAAATAAAATCAGATAGTGGTATAATATTGTTAAAATATGATAAAAAATAATTAATTTAATTTATAAATTAAAACAACCATAGGGGCCAATAATTTGAGTTGCTTCCGTTCCCAAATTTTCACTTCTCACATAGATATTCACTAGAACATCACAAAATTTGTAATCTATAAATAGGTGGGCCAAGAATTGCGTAAAAAGTTGCGAAGATTTCATAACTAAGTTGTTTAGTTTTACAAATTTCAAATTAATTTCAATATGTTGCAGAGGATCGCGAATCGCCATGAAGAAGCTCCGGAAATCACTGTGGAGAAGGTGATAAAATTTTGGACTATAGAATCAAGGAATGAAATTGATGACTCTTATCAAAGCATAAATGAATAGTACTTCGTGTCTCCATTCTTCGTCTCGCAATGAGATATGCAATTTAAGGCATAAAGAACATACCTTTCAGGCGGAGGCGGAGTACGAGTTGAAGGATGGACTCAACGAGAAGAAGTGAATCTTGTGGACCATCCAGAGGAAGTAGAAAACGAAGGCGCAGAGGGTTGGAAGAAAGATCCCGAGGTGGAGGGTTTTTTGCCTACAATGAGAGCAATTAGGGCAATTTATCCTAGGACAAACGACGCCGTATTGGTTGACGACGACGTGGCATGAACAGTAAAAATTGGCTCTTTTATATGTAGTAGGGATATTCACTAGAACATCACAAAATTTGTAATCTATAAATAGGTGGGCCAAGAATTGCGTAAAAAGTTGCAAAGATTTCATAACTAAGATGTTTAGTTTTACAAATTTCAAATTTAAGAGATTATGTTTAAAATTTCATATCTCAAAATTTTTAAATTTTTTTTAAAATTAATTAATTAAACATATATTTTACTAATTAAATATATTAAGGTCACAATTTCATATAATTTGGTCACAATTCCATCTAATTGGTCACAAATCATAATTTTCACATGTCACAAATTATTTTACGGTCATAATTCAAAAAATTTATAGGTCACAATTTGTTCATCAGTCACAAATAAAAAATTTATACGTCACAATTTATTCATCGACAAATTTATCAAATTAATAAGTCACATATTATTAATTTGGCACAAATCACAAATTTTATATGTCACAATTTTTTTTACGGTCACAATTCAAAAATTTTATAGGTCACAAATAAAAAATTGAAACGTTACAATTTATTTATAGGTCACAAATCACAAATATTATAAGTCACAACTTAATGGACAGTCACAAATTGTCAAATTATCGATCACAAATTAACAGGTTTTTAGGTCACACATTTTTTTTTTGTCACAATTTATCTTTTTCATTCAAATTATCGATCACAAATTAACAGTTTTTTAGGTCACACGTTTTTTTTGTCACAATTATCTTTTTCATTGGTCACAGATTAACCAATTTAATAGTCACAATTAACCAAATAATTTGTGACAACAACCAATACTTGTGACCATCATCACACCACTCCCTCCAGCAGCACCACTGCCACCGTTGTCGCCACCACCACCACCACCTCTTGACAACAACACCACCACCTTAAACAAATCAACACATCGCAAAAAACATCACAATGTCGTCGCACCGATCCATCGCCACCTTGAGAGACCCGTCGCCACCAACAACTCAAGACCACCACCATCACCAAGATCCACCACCTTCGCCACCATTACATCCAACATAACTTCTGCCTCCAACACTGTCACCGTCACTGTCACTATCACCATCACCCAAACACCACCACCACAACCTCACCATGTCCAATCATAACCAAACATCACCAAAACCACAGCCACTAGAACAAGCACCACAACCACATATCACCACTACCTCAACAAATCCAATCGACTGAAAGCACCGTTGCCCTATCCAAAATGGGATCCTACCGACTGTAGCCACAGTAACATCATTGCGACAACTGGGAACCACCAACAACATTAGTGTTGTCAGCAACCTTACCAGATATAACCACAACCACACATCACCAAAACCACCACTGCTAGAACAACCATCACAACCACACATCACCACCACCTCACTTGATCGAAGAGCACTGCGGCATATCAACAAGCCATTAGCGCTACTGCGAACACCAATACCAAATCACCAACGACGAACTCCCGATCGCTGCTGTCAGCGACGAATTCAAGCACCGTTAGCAACGAACGAGAGAGTGACAGAGAGAAGAGAGAATGAAGAAGAAATACAAAGGCTGGACTACCGGCGGAGAGTCGGAGAGGGAGGAGAGTAGAGAATGAGAAGAGAGAGCGACGGAGAGAAGAAGGCAGAGAGAGTGATAGAGAGAAGAGAGAGAAAATTAGGATGAAATTGATTAGGGTTTGGATGAAAATTGTACAATTAATATTTAATATTTAAAAATAAAATATCTGATTTTCAAAAAGTGAAACCTTTAATCTGATTTTTGAAATTGAATCTTTAAAATTTTGGTTTTGTGTAATTTCCACTAAAAAGCTATGTGGGACTTTTAATTATACGATTTAAAAGTTGACTAATTTAAAAAATTTAATTGAGAAAAAATTAGAATTCAAGCATTAAGTATAGGCCTGTGAAAATTTAAGGGAATACGTTTAACTTTTCAGAAATCGGGTTGTAATTACATTTTTTTAATTAAATAAAAAAATTATTTATAAAATAATGACAATTTCTCTCCATTCCGCCCATAGTCACGGCATCCATCCTGCCACAATCTCTTCTTACAGTCGCCGACATCTACCACTCGCCATCATCCACTATTACAGTCACACGCATCCAAATAACTTCATTGGAGGAAAGATAAAATCTACAGAGATCATAGGAGACTGAACATCTTCTTCAGCGACGAACTGATCTTCGCTTAATTCATCGTCGGCTCAAATAGTAGATAGAGAGGTAGAAACATAGTTGATGTTCAACAACTGTGACCTATATAACATGACATGTAACACGTGATCAATTAATATTGACATGTGAACATCTGTGACCTATATAATATGACATGTAACCTGTAAATGGTTACTCATGACCTGTAAACTATATGTGACCAATTAATATTGACCTATGAAAATAAATTAGTGATATGTGACCAAAGACGTGACAATATTGACTTATAACATGTAACAATTGCACAAAGACGTGACATGTTACTAGGTCACATGTCACAAGCCATGTGCACATGTCACAGGTCATTGCATCAATGTCACATATTATCTATTGTGTTGGTTACAAATTATTTATTGATCACATATTAATCCAATTTTTTGGTCACAAACCGTGTTTATTCAAATCCAACTCAATCCAAAACCAACACCATAACCACCACCTGCACAACCATCACAAGCACTCCCACCACCTTAAAATTCACCACAAAACTACCATGAAATGACCACCAAAAATTACAACTTCCATCTCCACCACAACTACAATCACAACCACAATCACCATCCCACACTACAACAAAATACAAAAATTGTGACAAAAAATGTTTTCACATAAATAGAGATTTTGTTATAAAAATAATTTTCCGATTATATGAGCCACGGAATGTATACTGCGACATCTTTCGTTCATTCATCACATTAACGAACTCGCAACACTATTTATTTGACGTAGAAAGTACAAAATGGCAACAAAGTATTTGTTGCCATAATGTCATCGCAGAGAACATATGTCGCGAAAAATCAAAAGTGTGACAAGTCAATTTGTCGGAACGATTATTCCAATAAAGTTTTTGCGAGAAAAATATTTGTTGCGAATATTATGTTAAATGTATAACTATTGTTACCTATTCTTTTTTTTTTTTTTGCAACAACACATGCTCATAGTGATATATTTTTAATAACAAGTCACGTTTGTCGCGAAATACGATTTACAATGCATTTGATATGTTGCATAATATATTTTAAGACAACATTTGTATTAAAATTTATTATATAACAGGTGATGTTTGTAAATACATAATTTTCAATTTTTTGCTACGCAATTGAATTGTAACTGCGGTAGACAATAATTTGAAAATGTAACCCACTTCATTAAAAATAACTCATGACTTTATAAAAAGAATACTTCAATGTACAATTATTAAAATATAAATGATTTCAAAATAGATAAAAAAATTCATATTATTGTCAACCAATTATAGAACAAGGTATTATTCACAATCTTGGTTACCTCCAAAACCAAAACAAATACAAAGTATATGCTAGTGATTCAATGGTCGAACTACTTATGGTGGTTCTCCAAACCTTTAAAAAAAAAAAAAACAGAACTAGAAAGATTGAAGAAATAACAACTAATTCACATACTGGGGAACCAAACAACCTTTTTGACTCAAAGATATACTTTCAGTTCACACTCAATATGTTATTTGGTTAAATGATTATTTTTGTAAGGAAAAACTCCACAACTTCAGTCAAAGATGAACATATAAAATGTTTTAAATATTATCTACAAGAAAAATATGTCAAATATCTCATATTAACTAGGAAGATGATTTTCTATAAGTTGTCCGTGACTACAAATTTAAGGCAAAGTTCAAATGCTGAAAAAATAATAGTAATTTAAAA